AATGGCAACCATTTGATTAGCTTAGTCTTCTGATCTCTAGTGCCCCATGCTTCCTGTCAGTGATCCATATGCATATGAATGAGGCTCCTGCTCCAACTGGTTTGTCAGGGACCAGTGTGGATGCCAGGCCCTGGGTGGCAGCCCTGGGGTGATTACTACTGTAGGTTTAGAGCAAGCTCCCGCCTGTCAGGGACCCACTGCCCACAAGAAGCTGTTACATGCCCGGGGCACGGGGGCACGCAGAGCCAGTGGGCAGATCTGTTTCCCTGATCATATCAGTCCCTCCTGGTGACCATGCCCTCTGCTCTTTGATGACCTGAGAAAGGGCTGGGTAAAGCTGGAATCAAGGGCCAGAGCCTTATAGAGTGGTCAAGCTGATCTTGAACCCTGGCTCTGGCTGTAATCCTCACGTATGTTCTCTCTTCCATCCCCTAGGAGGATCTTATTCGGGAATTAAGGCCATCACTTCTTTTCTAGCTTCCAGGCGCTTTACCTGGGGCAGGAATATTAAGGCATGAACCTTGATAAGGCATGAACCTTCTCTTCAGAGATTTGAACCTATTGTATATGTGTGTGTGTGTGTATGTATATAATGCACACCTGTGTGTGTATGCTTATTATCTCACACATGCTGTGGGAGGCTCCCTGGGATATTAGTAGGAAGAATCCTGAACGTGAGTGAGGTGGCTTTGTCCGAAGCCCCCGGGGGCCTTTGAGTCTATCACTTATCTTCTCGAAGTCTTGGATTCCACTGCTGCTCAGCAGGGATAATGAAGCTTGCCCTGTCTGCATCAGAGTGCTTGTTGGGAGAATGAGATGGGGCAATGTCAATAAGTGATAAAGTACTAAATGCACTCAGGGGATTGCACTGGGAGCAGGGAATCTTAACCACTGGACCACCTGGGAAGTCCCCTGTTGTTCAGTCTCTAAGTTGTGTCCATCTCTTTGCAACCCCATGGACTGTAGCACGCCAGGCTTCCCTGTTCTTCACCATCTCCTAGAGTTTGCTCAAACTTGTGTTCATTGAGTCGGTGAAGCCATCCAACCATCTCATCCTGTCGCCACCTTCTCCTGCCTTCAGTCTCTCCCAGCATCAGGGTCTTTTCCAGTGAGTCGACTCTTTGCATCAGGTAGTCAAAGTATTGGAGCTTTCAGCATCAGTCCGTCCAACGAATATTCAGGGTTGATTTTCTTTAGAGTTGACTGATTTGATCTCCCGGTTGTCCAGGGGACTCTCAAGAGTCTTCTCCAGCACCACAGTTCAAAAGCATTGGCAGGTAGGTTCTTAACCACTGGACCACCAGGGAAGTCCCTGGCCTCCTATTTTTCCATTAAGATACTTAGTCTTTCCATATCATGTCACCAGTTCCCTGTATTAAATCCCCTCTGCTCAAATAGAAGACTTTCCATTTGTTTGAGTGGATCTTTGCTGATATTCAGACAAAATGACTCTAGAGCTCATAGTCTTAATCTTTTCAGATGAGAAAACTGACTCAGACTTACTTCAGGTTGTAAAAGCTATGAACTATGAAGAAAAGAGCCAAGAAAAGTTGGGGAAAGAAAAAAAAAAATGAGAGGTTGTCCTTTTAGATATCAAAATATACCTTGAAGCTGTAGTAATAGAAACAACATGGGCAGATGTAGAATCAGTAGAACAAAACATTGGGAAAGAATACAATCAGAAATAGCTGTAAGAATAAAAGAATATTTTACTTGTTAAAGGAAACATTTCAAATAAATGAGGAAATGCTGCTGGAGGGATTAATCCACCCATAAATTTGAGAAAAGACCCCAAATAAGTTCCAGATGGATTGAGGAACTAAACCATATGAAACTACTAGAAATAAATACAGGAGAACTTTTTTTCTTGTTTTAATCTTGAGATTAGGAAAGCTCTTTCCAAAGAAAATTGAAAATACAAAACAGCATGAAAGGATGAAGTTGACAGGCTTACAGTTTATATAACAATTTAAAGTATGAAATTTTGGTGTGGAAAAGAACTCAGAGATCTAAATAAGTTCTTGCCTAATTAGTGTAGTGTGGAATCGCTGAAGTGATCTGAAAATGGGAAGGGAAGCTGGAACTGGATTTCTTGGGTTCTCTTCCTGTTCCTTGATTGGGAGGAACTATACATTTCTATCCAGTGGTTCATCCAGCTTAAGGCACAAGGAGTCACCTCACAGAGGCAGGGAGATCCTACCTGTGCCCTCATGAGCAACTTTCCCTGAGTCCTTAAGCTGCAAAAAATGAGATAAGCTCAAGCCAGAGATACTTGGAAAGTGGAGACGAAGAAGGCAGAAATTCTGTACTCTTTTAAAAGAAAGTTATCCACTTGGCCTATTTATTAGATCATGAGTACTTGGGAAAGGACTAGAGAATGTTCTGATTAATGGATCAGTGGGCATCCAAAGCAGATGGCAAGAAGCATCACTTAGAGCAGGGGAACAACTAAATGGAGTACTTAGTTCTTAATCAGTTTATTTTAAGAAATGTGATGCTTTTCTTCCTATGTTGTAAACTGGGTCTTTAAATGGTTTAAATTATTTTATTTCTAGTTTATCATTTCCCACTCTATTATTTTTTGAATTAGAGTTTCTCTTTATATTATTTATATATATACAGCAACAAGTAAAATAAGTTCAAATGTTGGAGGCTTCTGGTTCAACTGTTAATTAGCCATTTTATCCTGATTCAGAGCACTGGACTTTTTGTCAAAATGTGATTTGTCCTAAGATTGTGGGCTTATTTATTGAAATATTCAAATAATGAGGCTTGTTTTGTTTCAAAAAAATGGAAAAAGAATATGGTAGATCTACAGGTTCGATCCCTGGGTTGGGAAGATCCTCTGGAGAAAGGCATGGCAACTCACTCCAGGATTCTTGCCTGGAGAATCCCATGGACAGAGGAGTCGGTGCATATGGTCCATAAAGTTGCAGAGTTGGACATGACTGAAGTGACTTAGCATGCACACACAGTGAGACGATATATGTTTTGTTTGTGGGTTGATGATGTGTGTGGTACAATATACATAACATAAATTTACCAATTTAACCCTTATAGATGTATAGTTCATTGCCATTAAGTATATTTATAGTGTGCAATCAACAGCACATGCATACCCAGAACTTTTTCATCATCCCAAACTGAAACTCCAAATCCATCAAATACTGACTCCTCATTCTCCCATCCAGCCCCTGGCAACCACTATTGTACTTTCTATGAATTTGACTACTCTAGCTATCTCATACACGTAGAATCAAACACTATTTGTCCTTTCGTGACTGACTTATTTCACTTAGCACAGTGTCTTCAGGGTTCATCCATGCTATAGCATGTGTTAGAATTCTTTTCTTTTTAAGGCTGAAGTACAGTATTCCATTGTATGTATAGCATACCTGGGTTTTTCATTCATCCACTGATGGGTGCTTGAGTTGTGTCTGCTTTTTGGCTATTGTGAATAATGCTGCTATGAACGTGGATCTATGAATATCTCTTTGAGTCTCTGCTTTCAATTCTTTTGGAAAGTCTCTGCTTTCAATTTACCTAGAAATATCTGTAGTTTTAAGTCACTAAATTTGCGGGTAATTTCTTACATAGGAATAGATAACTAACAGAGGAGCAGATTTGAAAGATACCACAAACAGAAACTTTTTACCCCAATATTTTATTATGAAAACTTTCCAATGTACAGCAAAGTTGAAAGAACTCTTCAGTGAACATGCATATATCACCACCAAGGTTAAACTACTAACAGTTTGCTGTATGTTCTTTGTAAACTAGGTTAAATCAAATGTAATTGTTGTTCTTATAGATTAAAAATTATGTAATATTGGCAAATGTCATATTATTAAATCTTGTATCTTTTTATATTTTTTCTGAACCATTTGAAAATGTGTTGCAGACTTCATGATATTTTACCTCTCAATACTTAAGCACTGGGACTTTCCTGGTGGTTCAGTGGTTAAGAATCCACCTTGCAATGAAGGGGGCAAAGTTTGATCCCTGATTGGGGAACTAAGACCCCACATGCTGCAGAGCAACTAAACCAGTGCACTGCAACTAAGACCCAAATAAATAAATTAATAAGAATCAGGATTAGTAAATAAATAAATAATAATCATGAGCCAAATAAGTAAATAAATATCAGGAAACAAATACTAACTATCTCCTAAAAATCTTTAAGCATCCTCATAAATAAACACCATCACCACATCAAAGAAAATTATCCTAATATCACCTGAGAAAATTCCTTAATGAAATTTAGTATATATACATTCCATATTCAAATTTCTCTAGCAGTCCCCGAAATGTGTTCTGTAGCTGAATTTCAGAACGAGACAATAGAGTTCGTTACTACATTTGGTAATTACGTCCTTTCGGTCTCATACATATTAATTCTGGAAGAAAGATTCTCAACCTGTGTCCATGGTCTTCAGAGGATCTCTGAGAGTCCTGAGAGTTAATACAAAATTGTGTATGTGCCCGCCCATGCTTGCAAAAGTGAGGGTAGATTAGATTCTCTAAGTGACGGTACACCAAAGGTTGAGAACTCATGAAGTAAAAATAGTAGATGATTGACTTGAAGAGGGAGAAAGGCCAAACACCATGACTGAGCAACAGTTCACCAGGAGGCTGGTTTTGGGGAGAATGACATGTCTTTGGACAAATAACATAATCTCTTTGTCCATTTCTAATTTATGAATAATAATATTGATCTGCTTACCTCAGTAGAAGGTGCGTGTGAAAATACTTTGCACATCAGAAATGGCTCAGAGGGACTTCCCTGGTGGTCCAATGGTTAAGAACCCACCTGCCAGTGCAGGGGACACAGGTTTGATCCCTGTCCAGGAAGATTCCACATGCCTCGGAGCAACTAGGTCCGTGTGCTGCAACTACTGAAGCCTGCGTTCTAGGGCCCATGCTGTGCCACAGGAGAAGCCACCGCAATGAGAAGTCTGTGCACCGCAACTGGAGAATAACCCCTGGCTCGCCACAACTAGAGAAAGCCTGCTGGTAGCAATGAAGACCCAGCACAGCCAAATAAATAGATACAGTTTAAAAAACAAAAGAAATGGTTCTGAGATCATCAAAAAGCTATACAACGTTAGTTACTGAAACTACAGAAAATTCAAGTTTCCGAAACTTTTGCATTCTGATCACTACCCACATTGCAGCAAGGAGAGAATGTCAGTTGTCTTAAGCCAGTGTTCTGCAGTTTCCTGTCTAGGCACGTTCTGGATGACAGAACCAGGAAAGGGTTTGGACTCTCTCTTGATTGGGGTAAATATTAATACCTGTCCGTTCACACATCAGTTGCTCTTGCATTGTCTGGCTGAGGGTCTGCCTTACAGCCTGGGCTGGACTCCTGCCTAGAAATAATTGGAGTGGGAATAGGACAGGACTTGTTACTCCCAATGGAGTCTTTTCTCAGAGACTTAACTTCCCTCTCTCACCAAAGGTAGCCTGTACAAGTTGCTTCAATACCCTTTCTATGGGAAAAGGTAATCTTATCTTTCTATGCTTCCTCCAGGGGCCCTGGACTATTGAGAAATTTATAAGAGAATTTGTTCCCAGGCCAATCTGGGTGTGGGGAAAGAGCTGGAATCAGGACCCAGACTTCTTTGGCCAGCTGTTTCAAGCAAGTAAGGTAAGAATGATGAATACCAAGTGACCCATGAAAACTGGAACTCTGGCCCAATGGAAGTTGCAGTTGAGGAGAAAGAGCTATAAAGCCATAATGATCTCTATTTAAATGAAAACACCCTCTTTATTGATAATAAGCTTAGGAAGATTTAGTTGGGAAAATTCCTAACAGTACTTCCTTCAAGTTCTGTGCCAGCTTTTGTTCTCAAATGCCAGGTATAAATTTCTCAATGTAAGATCTTTCTAAAACATGACAAGTTTAAACACAGCCATTCTCCTCCTGCTCACCTCTAAATTCTGCCTTATGTTCTCAAAATGGTTAAGATTTCTTAGATGGTGGCAATTAATCTTTCAATAGCCTTCTGTTTAATTGCTAGGAACTTGACAAAAAACTATGTGATCCTTATAAAACATTTGATGATTTGGGAGCCAGTGAGAAGATGAAGCCCAACAGATGTGATTTGGGATTAGCTGCTGACCTAATAGCTGGTAAGCTATTTAACATCTCTAAGCTTTGGTGTCATCACTTGTGTAAAAGGGGGACTCAAAATTTGCTCAACAAACACATTTTGAATGTTTACCATGTGCCAGGCACTGTTCTAGGCACCAGGGAAGGCTCCACGAAGAAACATGACAGTTGTACTCTCTGCTTTCCTTGACTTTATCTGCCACAGCATGTGAATACTGAATGAAAGATTGTATAATTAAGTTTATAGTTAAGATTATATAATACCAATGGCAATAACAACTACCTCAGCAGATGTTGTGAGGATTAAAAGAGTCAGTCAGGCAAATTCAAGACTGGTGTCATAATACTAGTTATTAGTTTTACTAACAATCCTAATTAGTGTAAATATGTGTTGGGTATTAGTTCCTCTTCTGTTTGGGGGTGTATATTTAAGTGGTTAAAAGTAACAGCTACTGCGTGACTTAGATGTCTGTTACCCTTATAGGAAATGGGAAGGCAAACATTCCTGCTAGTGTTAGGGACATGGTCTCCCCAGCTTAAGGAAAGAAGCTGAAGTAGCTGTTCATTGCTGTCAGGAAGAACAGTTTTAATATTAACATTAACTAGTGTTAGTCACTCAGTTGTGTCTGACTCTCTGCGACCCCATGAACTGCACCCTGCCAAGTTCCTCTGTCCATGGAATTCTCCAGGCAAGAATACTGGAGTGGGTTGCCATTCCCTTCTCCAGGGGATCTTCCCAACCCAGGGATCGAACCAGGTCTCCCACATTGCAGGTGGACTCTACCATCTGAGCCACCAGGGAAACCCCACAGCCTAGCCCTGGGAGTAGAGGATATGGGCACAGAATTTTGCAAATGGTCTCTGAATCCTGATGCACACCAAGTGTTCTATGTAGAATGAAAACATATTGTGCCCACATATGGACATTACTGTAATTATAGATGCTGATGTGATTCATACAGTACAGGGTGCTTTAAGTGAATTCCTGAAGCCTTACTAGCATTTTTTTTCATTATGTATTTTCTCATTCAAATCTTATCCTGCCTCTTGCTGACTTAAACCCTTTAACAGCTCCTCATTGCCTGGGATAAAGTCCACATTCCCTCCCCAGCACTGCCCTGCCGACCTCTGTTGGTAACTACTCCACCCCCATCCCTGTCTATTCACCAAGCTCTGACATGCAGGCTCTTCCAGGCCATGACTTAGAGCCTTTGGCGCTCAATGTACAATTTGTTCTGGCATGAACAGATCCAGCTTCTGAGTAGGGAAAGGTATCATTGACCCTTCCCACAGGCGTCATGTCATTTTGGGGTAGTTATGGGTCCACTCAGGCCCTGGATCAAGCCGGCCTTGCCGTGGGTCAGTCAGTTCTCCATAGACCACCTCTTCTCCCAGGCTCCTGCTCCATTCTCTGTACCCCTCTCCCTCTGGGAGTCAGCAAGGCGCAGATGGAGGTAAAAAATCACTTGTCGTCATTTGTCATTTAGTTGCTCAGTCATGTCCAACTCTTTGCGACCCCATGGACTGTAGCCCTCCAGGCTCCTCCGTCCATGAAATTCTCCAGGCAGAATACTGGAGTGGGTAGCCATTCCCTTCTCTGGGAGATCTTCCCGATCCAGGGATTGAACCCAGGTCTCCCTCACTGTGGGCAGATTCTTTACCATCTGAACCACTAGGGAAGCCCCTGGTGGAGGTGAGCTCCTCCTAGCTTCTTCCTCTGTCCCTGTTGCATCAACACTCCAAACAAATACACAAGCCATCTTTCAATGAAAGCCATTTTCCTTTCAAGGGTTTCAAAACTAAACCATTTGGAAATCAGAAACTTCTTGGTGTAGACACTGATGTCTACAGTGTTATATGGAAATCCAAGGTCCATAATGCCCTGTGCCTTCACACAATGTGTATGTGAGTTATTCAGGTCCCTGGAGAGAGGAGTCATTGATAAAACATGTGGGGGAAGCATTTTTTAGTTCTCTCCTCACACTTAAAACCCTCCAAAGAGTGAAGAGACACAACTCCATTTTTTTTTTTTTTGCAACTCCATTTTTAAATGATAAGGAATAGAAGAAAGCAATTTCTCCATTTTTTCATGAAATATCATGTAAACAAAAGAATGTACTTAACATATATGTACAGTTTAACAATAACAGTAAAATGTACCTGCCAACCAGCTTTAAAAATCCAATTTAACTAGTGCTTTAGAAGGTCCTATGTGGACTTCCCCAGTCACACCCCTTTTTTTCTCCCTCCAGGCAGTAACTATTTTGCTGAATTTTTACTTAATCATTCCCTTAGTTTTCTTTAGAAGCTTACTCTTTTTCTTTTTCTTTTTTTTCCTCTCTTTTTAAAGTTTTTTCTCTCCCTTTTAAAAATTGAAGTATGGTTGTACAATACTACTTAAGTTACAGCTGTAAAATATAGTGATTCACAATTTTTAAAGATTATGCTCCATTTATAGTTACTATAAAATATTTGTTCTATTCCATGTGTTGTACAATATATCCTTGTAGTTTATTTTACATATAATAGTTTGTACCTCTTAGAGTTTTACTCTTTATGAATATTTTCCTTTGCAATATATTTTAATTTGGGAAAGTTTTTGCATTTTATTGAACTTATATAGTATATATTCTTCTTGTGACTTACTTTTTTTCACTCAACAGTATGTTTTTGAGACCCATCTATAATGCTGTGCACACCTATAGTTCACTCATTTTTTGCTGGCAGATTGTGTTGAATTGTATGAATTCAACAATTGTGTTGAATATGTGTTGAATTGTATGAGTATGTGTATGAATATGAATTGTATGAATATGTGTACTTATCTATCCTCCTGGTATCAGTCATTTGTACATTTCCAGCTTTTTGCTATTCAGTACTGAACATTCTTGTACCTGTCTCCAGCTTCAGTGACATAAGGAAGCTGTATACTGTCAAGTAAAGGCAAGGACACTGTTCTGGAAGGCTCATCTTAATGGTCCCATTGTTTAGAACCAAAAGGCGAGCAGCTGGAAAGATTCCAGAGAAGTAACTCCACCCCATAAGACACAGGAATTGGGGAAGTGGAAGTAATGCAGAAGCCGTGTATAAGCACCATATTAATTATTCATGTCCCTGACTCTTAGCTGAGGGGACCTGCTGGGAGAAGGGGAGATGGGAGTGGGGAATGAGGGAACGGTATGAGAAAGTATGCTCTACGCTGAATGTTTGTGTCCCCTCAAAGTGCATGTGTTGAAACCCAGTCCCCAGTGTGCTGATATTTGGAGGTGGGACCTTTGGGAGGTGATTAAGTCACGAGGGTAGAGCTCTCATGAATGAGATTAGTGCCCTTGTAGAAGAGACCCCAGAGCTCCCCCACCACTTCTGCCCTGTGTGGACGTAGTGAGAGGACAGCGGTGTGTACACCAGGAAGCAGGCTCTCACCAGACACCAGATCTGCTGGTGCCGTGATGTTGGACTTCTCAGCTTCCAAAACTGTGAGAAATGTTTGTTGGTTAAGCTACCCAGCCTATGATATATATATATATCATATATATATATATATATATATTTTTTTTTTTTTTTGGAACAGCCCAAACAGACTAAGACAAAGGCTGTCTTAGGGAGTATTACCACACTGATTCCCTTAATCTTGAAAACCAGGAAGAAAACAAATTTGCTGATACCGTGTTTAAGAGAAAAGGTCAGTTTAAAACTGTTGTCTGTCCAGATCACTTGCCTCATCTTTTTCTAAACTAATTTTTAACAAATATCTGGTCTGTTTCAAAGATAAGCCATGACCAGAAAGACATGCATAATTAGTGCAACTTCTGGTTAAACAAACTGGAAATTTGTTTTTAGGCTTCCCTCCCCCAAAACCCTACTAAAATGATACTGAAGGAATATAAAAGGGCCTAACCCCCACAGGAGTCAGGAGATATCAGGAGAGGAGGAAATTTCAACCAGTTTTTGAAAGACAGAGATGGAGTAGAGAGAGGCACCTAAATTAGCCCAGTGGAGGAAGACTGCGTTTTAACTGTCTGCTGACCCCATGAAGCAGTACTGTGTAAAGTGGGTCAAGAGACACAGGGTGAAAACAGCAGAACATAAAGATAGATCAAAGGCCCGTTCCTCCTCCCCTTAAAGCAAGGTGACTACCAGACCAAGCAGGAAACTGTAGATTCAGTGTATAGAAACTAAATCGTAAAGATGTTGCTGATGTCATGTAGAATTAGAAACACAAAGATTAAGAACACGTCTGCCCTGTTGTATGATTCAGCATACTACTAGCTGTATGCCCAAGAGAATTAAAAACATATGTCCGGGGCTTCCCTGTTGGCTCAGTGGTAAAGAATCTCCCTGCCAATGCAGGAGACACAGGCTTGATCCCTGATCTGGAAAGGTCCCACATGCCTTGGAGAAACTAAACCGGTGCACCACAACTGCTGAGCCTGTGCTCTAGAGCCCAGCAGCCTCAACTACCGAGGTCCATGCACCTTAGAGCCCGTGCTCTGCGAAAAGAGAAGCCACTGCAATGAGAAACCCAAAACCTAGAGAGTAGCGCCAACTCACTGCAACTAGAGAAAAGCCCGAGCAGCAACAAAGACCCAGCACAGCCAAAAATAAATAAACAAAAACTAAAAAGAGAAAAATACATGTCCAGGGGAGGGGAGGGATACATTGGAAGACTGGGATTGACAAATACACACTACTAATACAAGGTGGATGACTAATGAGGACCAACTATGTAGCACAGGGAACTCCCTTCAATACTCTGTAATGAACTATATGGGGAAAGAATCTTAGGAAAAGAGTGATGTATGTAGATGTATAACTGATACACTTTGCGGAACAGCAGAAACTAGCACAACACTGTATATCAACTGTACTCTAATAAAAAATTTTTTTAAAGTTCATGCAAAAACTTGTACACAAATGTTCATAGCAATATTTTCGTAATATCCAAGAAGGTGGAAACAACCCAAATGTCCATCAGCTGATGAATGGATAAACAAAATGTATATGTATATTAATACAATAAAATATTATTTGGCCATAAAAAGAGTTAAGCGCTGATACATGCTACAATGTGGGGGAACCTTGAAAACATGATGTTAAATGAAAGTGGCCAGTCACAAAGGACTACTTATTATATAATTCCACTTATATGAAATGTACAGAGTAGGCATATAAATAGAGATAGACAGTAGATTAGTGGTTGCCAGGAGCTAGGAGGACAGAAGAATGAGAAGGATGCTGCTAATCGATATGAGGTTCCTTTTTGGAGTGATGCAGATGTTTGGAAATAGATAGTGGTAGTTGTACAACTCTGTGAATATACTAAAATCCACTGAGTTATACAGTTGTGAAGTACAGAGTTGTATATTTATTTATTTATGATTTTCAATGTTGCTCCATACAGCACGTGGGATCTTGGTTCCCTGACCAGAGGTCAAACCTGCACCCCTCGAATTGGAAGCATGGAATCTTAACCACTGGACCACCAGGGAAACTCCACAGAAGTATACTTTTAAATGATAGATTTAATGGCATGTGAATTATTTCTATAAAGAAAGCTGAGTGCCGAAGAATTGATGCTTTTGAACTGTGGTATTGGAAAAGACTCTTGAGAGTCCCTTGGACTTCAAGGAGATCAAACCAGTCAATCCTAAAGAAAATTCAATCCTGGAAGGACTGATACTGAAGCTGAAATTCAAATATTTTGGCCATCTGATGCGAAGAACTGACTCATTGGAAAAAACACTGATCCTGGGAAAGATTGAAGGCAGGAGGAGAAGAGGACGACAGAGGATGAGATGGTTGGATGCCATCACCAACCCGAAGGACATGAGTTTGAGCAAGCTCTAGGAGTTAGTGATGGACAGGGAAGCCTGGCATGCTGCAGTCCATGGGGTTACAAAGAGTTGGACTGAGCGACTGAACTGAGCTGAATTATATCTCAATAAAAAAGAGACAGAGTGCTCTCGGCCTCAGCACCATCTTTTGAGAAACCTCTGTGCCATGAGAGCGAAGTGGAGGAAGAAGCGAATGCGCAGGCTGAAGCGCAAAAGAAGAAAGATGAGGCAGAGGTCCAAGAAAACTTGTACACCCATGGAAGCCACAGAAGCAGAAACAAGGGAAGCCAGAGGCCAGGGATGCTGGTACAAATTGTGGACTGCATGCCTACTATCTAGAACTTCTCAATGGATCTGGAACATCTATGGCCATTCTGATCGCCTTGACCACCTTTGAGAGACCTACCTTGCTCGTATCAAAGCCGTCCCTTTTGGTCCTTTGCCCTGGACCTGTGATAACTATGGACTAGTTCTCTTCTCAGTTGTGGCTGAATGTAACGTGTACAATAAATCATCTCTTTTGCTGTCTTAGCTGAAGAAAAAAAAAAGAGAGAGAGAGACAGAGTGAGAACCTAGGAGATCCTTCACAACTTTAGCTTTGAATCTAGAGAGTCACAATAAGAGATCTTAAATTATGCAAGTTTGATTACAATGATAAATTACTGGAAACAATGGGATTGTCTCTATTGTCCACCAATAGAGATTAGGTTACAAAATATGATATATCATGCCAATTGAATGCAATGAAACTACTTTAATAATGTGGGAGAAATATATTTAATGATATAAAAACATTTTTGTGATATAAGACATGAAGGAAACAGAATACTAAACAGTATGTATATTGTCATCTCATATTATAAGGAAAAATTGTGTATATATCTGCCTGCAGAATCACAATGTTAAAAATGGGACCAAAAAAGTCAAATCTGTCTCCTGAATGGTGGAGCCTCTCAAGAACCCTTCCCTTACTCTGCTCATAGATCTTAAGTGGCCATTTCTCCTCCCAAAGGAGAGACAAGTACTCGAAAAGCAGATGATTACTTCATAAGTCAGAAGGAGAAAGACAAATGCCATGTGATAACAGTTGTATGTGGAATCTAAAATGTAACAAATGAATTTATCTATGAAACAGAAACAGACTCACAGACATAGAGAACAGACTAGTGGTTGCCGAGCGGGAGGGGTTGGGGGAAGCAAGGATTGGGAGTTTGGTATTAGCAGCTGCAAACTATCACATATCGGATGAATAAACAAGATCCTACTGTATTGCACAGAGAACTGTTTTCAATATCTTGGGATAAACCACAATGGGAAAGAATATTTAGAAGATGTATGTGTGTGTATAACTGATTCACTTTGCTGTACAGCAAAAAGTAACACTCACTGTAAATCAATTATAATTCAATTAAAATAAATAAAATTTTAAAAAGAAAAAGAAGAGGGATTTCTTTAGGAAACAGAGTCAAGTGAATAATTCTCCATGACCTCAAAGAATGTAGTTGAAATAGTCTCTCCTTGACAGGAGCACTCGAGGAAAGATGCAAGAGTGCAAAGAAGAGATTCTAAGGGCACAGAATGAGATGGAAAGCAGACTGGCCTAGTTTTGGAAGAAAGGAAGAAAAAAACAGCTTCATCAGGGTAACTATTATATTAGGAGCAATAAAAACTGGAATAAATAGAACTAAAAAGTTTTTCTGAATGAATACAATTGAGAACACAAATGAAAATAAAGTGAAACAGAAAAAAGCCTTGTAAAAATATTTGGAGGAAAGATTATTCAAATTGAAGACATGTACAAAGAATTTGAATATAAACACAAAGATTAAAATAAAAAAGACCCACATTCCTAAGGTAGAAAACTATAAATAGAATAGAAAATATATTCACAGATGCTGTAGAAGAAAAATTTCCTGAAACAAAGATTTGCACCTACAGATTGAAAGTACAGACCATATCCTAGGGAAAAACTGATACAGATGGATCATAACAAGGATTGCTAATTTTTTCCAGTATTAATTCTCCCTTCTTCCATAATTGTAGTTTTTTTTTTTTAGCTGAATATATAGTCATTGAGAATGAAGACTATATTTTGCAGTATTCCCTGCAGTTAAATAGGGTCATATGACCAAGTTCTGACCAATGGGATGTGAGAAAGATTAATATTTACACTTCTGGGCTTCCCAGGTGGCACTAGTGGTAAAGAACAGGCCTGTCAATACAGGAGACAAAAGAGACACAAGTTCAATCCCTGGGGTGGGAAAATCCCCTGGAGGAGGAAATGGCAACTCACTCCAGTGTTCTTGCCTGGACACTCCCATGGACAGAGGAGCCTGGTGAGCTAGATTCCATAGTGCCGCAAAGAGTCAGACATGACTGAACCGACTTAGCATGCATGCATACACTTCTGGGTATATCCTTAAAGGGAAGGAATGTGCCCTTCCCTTTCTCTTGTCCTCTTTCTATTGGCTGTAATATTCATGTTGGTCTTTGTGGACAAGGACCACATCCTAGGGACAGTAGAGAAACAAAACAGAAAGAGCCTGAGTCCCTAACAGTTTCATTAGAGCATTGCTGCTGTATCAGTTTACATCATTAAATGAGAAACAAATACATTCTCCCTTAAAACCACTATTACTTTGAGTTTCTGTCTGAGTTTAAATCCTAAACAATACAGCAATTAAGGTATGTATTGATGAAGTTGCTGAAATTTAGAGATAAAGAATTTTAAGTATGTCCAAGTAGAAGTAAGTCATGAACAAAGAGTAAGGTCAGTTATCTTTAAGGTTTTCCCAAAGCAAAACTCAAGTCAGAAAACAAAAAGCAAGACCTAAAAAGATCTGAGGGAAAGAATGAGCCAAGAATTTTTACCCAATTTGCCCTTTTTAAGTATAAAAACACAGGCCCTTTGAAACATGCAAGAATCCATGAGACCAATATGAAAAAAAAAAAGACTACCTAATACCAAAATGAAGAGTTGACTCCAAAAATAAAAATGGAAAAGTCATGGTAAAAGAACAGTAATGAGCAGCAGATCCACTTAAATACAGAACCAATCAAACAGCTATGGGAATTGTGGTAAAAGAATGGAATGTAAATATCATTCATCTTTCCTATGTGAAGATGATACAACCAACAAAATTATTAATAAAAGGAGGAGTCAAGGGGAGAGGAGATGGAAGAATATACATGTGTTGATTTCCTCATGTGGTCTTGGCTAGAGGTCAATCGATTATCTAAAACTGAAACATGTTTTTAAAAATGACTCTAAAATCATAATGTTATCCTTTTTTAAGAAAAAGGACAATTTTTAGGAAGCTGCATGTTTTGGTATCAAGAAACATTTTCTGAAGTTCAAGAATTCCTTCAAGTTTTTTCTCCTGATAAATGTCATGCTTTGTTTAAAAGAAAAATGTGATCCCACTTTTTGTAATGCTATTGTAGGTATTTCCATTTTCTGTGAAACTTTCTGTTTCTCACCTCCAAACACAAAAA